AAGTGTTTGTTATGCTATTTCTATTGTTTTCTGTATGTTTGAAATATTTCATGTCAATAAAAAATTTAAGAACATAAAAACCATCCATTGCTCCCTTGCAGGTGAGCATTGGCCCATACATCAAAAGGTTGCCAGTTCAATTTCCGGTCAGGGCACATGCCCAGGTTGTGGGCTTGATACCCAGTAGGGGGCATGCAGGAGGCAGATCAATGTTTCTATCTCACATCCATATTTCTCTCTCTCTCCCCCTCTCCCTACCTCTCTCTCTAAAATCAAGAAAACAAATAAAAACAAAAAACACACAAACATCCCTGTCAAACCTCCAGTTCATGTTTACCTCTCTCCCGTGCCTTTTCCAAATTCCTTATATAAATTTTATTTACTATTCTACTTTCCCACTTGTAATTCACTCCTTGAGACTGCAATCTGGATTCTGAGGCAAATACTATTACACAACTGCTCTCACAAATGTCACTAATGATGTTCATGTTCTAAATCCCATAGACACATCTCTGCTACCCATTCCCCCGACCCTTCTAAAAATGCAGTTTTCCTCTTGTCTCTCAGCCTTTTCCTTCTCAGTCTCTTTTACCAACTACTCCTTTACTATCCCTTAACTATTGGCATACCTTAGGTTCTATCCTAGCATTTCCATTCTCATTCTGCACTCATCCTAAGTGACTCATCTAATCTTTCTTGTTTATCTAATTTTATTTAATTTATCATCTACTGTCTAAAGCAGTGGTTCTCAACCTGTGGGTCGCGACCCCTTTGGTGGTCGAATGACCCTTTCACAGGGGTCGCCTAAGACCATCCTGCATATCAGATATTTACATTATGATTCATAACAGTAGCAACATTACAGTTGTGAAGTAGCAACGAAAATAATTTTATGGTTGGGTCACAACATGAGGAACTGTATTTAAAGGGCCAGAAGGTTGAGAACCACTGGTAAAGACTCTCAAATCTTTAGATTGGGGTAGAGGAAAAATAAACCAAAGTCAGGAGCATACACAAGGTGGGAAGGAAAACTAACAGAAAACTCTCCACCTAATAAGCTGAGAATTCAAAGGGCTTTATCTTCAGGGTGAGAGTGACCAGAAGTTAACTAGTCCTCATAGATCTTGCAGCCTCAGTTTGCATTGCCTGAGTGTTCTAGGAAATCTCACGTCTTGAATTTGGATTAATGTGATCCCCCAAGGCTTGGCAGAAACTAACATATGTTTTCTCTGAAAGAAATTTCCTTCATCCTAGGCTTTAAATTCCTATAAATAATTCTGTTAAGTACAACAACCCATAGTAAAAGATAACCATGTACTCAGAAAATATTGTACCATGCACAAGAATGAGCAGAGCAAAAGTACCAGACTCACAAAGACTGAAAATATTGGGATTATCAGACAGAGACTATGACATAATTGTTTCTTAAGTTCAAAGAAATAAAATGTAGTTGAAAATAACTGCAGAGAAAAAGAAATTATATTAAAAAAAATCACACACATTTACCAAAGAACCAAACAGTACTTCCAGAAAAGAAACATTAAAAAGTCAATGGATTGCCCTGGCCTGGTGGCTCAGTTGGTTGGAGCATCATCCTGTACACCAAAAAGTTGTGGGTTCGATTCCCAGTCAGGGCACATACCTAGGTTGCCCAGTGAGTGTGCGAACATGAAGCAACCAATGATCTCTCACATTGGTGTCTGTCTTTCTCTCTCTCAAACCAATTTGAAAAGAAATAAAACATATCCTTGGGTTAGGATAAAAAAACCTCATGAAAAATCAATAGATGGATGTTAACTAAACTTACTGTGGTAATCATTTCAAAATATATGTAAATCAAATCATTATGCTGTACACTTTAAACTTATACAGTGCTGTATGTCAACTATATCTCAATATAATTGGAAAAAAACCCTCAATGAAATGAACACATTTATTAGCAAATTAAATATAGGTGAAGTGAGAATTGTTAAAATAGAAAACATATCAGAAGAAAAAATCCAGAATAAAGGCTGGAAAGACATAAAGATGGACAACACAGAAGAAAAAGTAAGACAATAGGTGAGAGTTAAATGACAGATGACAGAGAACTGAATCTGAGTTTAAAAAGAGGAGAAAATGTGGCAGGGTGGTATTTGAAGAGATATAGCTGAGATTTCTCCAGAAATTATGATAGACACTAATCTAGATTCCAGATGCCTAACAAATATCAAACAGAATAAAAAGAAATCTATACACAACACATCATAGTGAAAAAAAGAATATAAAGTGAGAGTCCTCATTTCTTCCTTCAAGTGTATTCTCCAGAAATTAACAGTTTAGTGAGCACAAAAGGAATCACTTAAGATAAATCTATTCATACTGTACCTCCATCACTGTTGCCCTCCTCTGTAATAATGTCCAGTAGTCTCTCAAAAGCATTTTCGAAAGCAACAATTTTCTGGATTGCGCCATTACTTCTTGTTAGTGCTTGTAGTAGTAAGACACCCTTATGGAGAAGAACAATAATGTTTAGTGGAGTACAAGTTTTATAAGACATTTTAAAATTACTCTCAAAAACCATAGAATTTTAGAAGTGATAGGAATTTCACAAGTCCAATCCCTTTAATTCATAGATAAGGAAAACAAGGAGAGAGCCTAGACTTAAATCCATGTCTACCAATTCCTAATTCAGTTCTCTTTTCACTGTAAACATAAACATACAATAATTCTTGCATATTCATCAATCACTATACAACTTTCATTGTGGTGTTAAGAGTTTAGCATTATATCTGTCTCAGGAATGCCTCTGCACATGCTTCACAATAGCAATTACATTAAATTGTGAATTCAAGAATATAAATCAATGAATATCATCACATTGTAGCACAGAAAATTCAGATATTCTTATGATTCCCCCAAATTTCCAAAACTCAATTCTGGCATATCCAGATTGAGACAATTCACAGTTTTGCTTCTGATTTTTAGCTTTTCTCAGCTCCTATTATGTTGGATTTTATTTACATACTAGAGGCCTGATGCACGAAATTCGTGCAAGGAGCTCGGCCCTCGCAGCCCCGGCTTTATCCAAAGGTCGTCCAGAGGGTCGTTCTGCTGTCTGGTCTAATTAGCATATCAGCTCTTTATTATATACTATAGGATTCTGCAACCTCTTAACATTCAAGAAAAACTCACTGTTACCCATTTCTGCTTCTTTCACTATAAAACAAAGGAATAGCAAATAGGTGGTTCCAAAGTACCAAAGAGGCAAATTAGCACTTTGCTATCAGTACTGGGCAGATAAGTATTCGCATAAGACAAAAAAATGCCCATGGCCTTATTGAGCTTGTTCTTTGAATTTTCCTGTCAAGTCTCAACATTAAGATGAGAAAGGCAAAAATGATTATTTTTAGATGTTAAATTTTCCTACTTAATGCTGCCAACTTGAGTTTAACTGCTAACAAAGGGAGGAAGAAATACAGTAGAAAGCATACTAAGGCTCTGAGTTTGATAAAGTGGGTTTAAAAAATGGTTGTCCTGGTTACTAGTTGTGCAACTTTAAGCAAATTACATAAATTCTGAGTATTAGTACATTTATGTGTAAAACAAGGATAATATCTTTGTTACTTTTTTTATATGCGACTTTTAATTTCCCAGTACATGTGTTTCTTTTCCCTGTTAAGAAATATATTGCTCTAATCAAACACATCCACTAAAATGCTATTAAGAATGAAAGTATCTGATCTGGTCATTTGAAAGTACGAGGGCACCAATTCCTTACTTTAAAAACTGACAACTAAAAGGTTGATTTTATTTATCTGGTCTTTCATGTATAAAATGTATTTCAGAATAAACAAAGTAGACTAGTTGATGAAGTAAAATTCTTTGTGTAAGATCACAGCTTCATAAATGTAAAATAATAAAATTATAAAAATCATCATGTTGTAATTCTCAACAAAATAAGCTATTTAAGCAATAATCATTAATGGATAATCAGGTGTAATGGATGAATTTAAGGTAAGGTTGACAGCTTTATAATAGAGTGATCTGGCTGTAACCACCTGAATCAAACCCATTGATCACTAAAAGTGAGACAGCCAAATGTTACACATTTCCCAATGTATTGTAAAATTAAGAACACTGATCAGCTAGGAAATATCCTAGCAAAAAGGGGAACTGGAACCTAATCAACAAATATTTAATTTGCAAAGCAAGAAAAAATAAAGGTGCATATTCTTAGGCTTGTTTTTCAAATTTAACTTACATCATTACGTATAACTTCCCTGGAATCTGCTAATAAGTCCATCAGTCTTGAAACACCTAGAACACACAACCATGTGAAAAATACTGGCAGATCAAAAACACAAATAGTGATTCAAGTTATAAACAATTTATTAACACATCATTTCAGTCCTCCCCTTTAGGAATGATCCTGACTTTTAAATCAAAATGATTTAAAGAAGATAAGTCACTTACCCATGGGACTAACTAAAATAATTTGCTGCACCTGAGGCCCTAGGTGCTTCAAAAGAGAAGTAAGAAGCTTCACACCGGGCCATCGGACATGGAAGTCAAAGTCCTGGAAGGTAAGAATGTAAAATGTTTACATTTAAAACACACACACATGTGTTTTTTTCAACTTAATAGTGGTGCTAAAAATCACAAACAAAATTTTTTCAAACTTTAATTTAAGAAATAAAAAAACAAAAATAGAATTGATAGAAATTGCTCAAACTTATTCACTGTTACTGACTAGATAAAACAGTGTTTTGTAAAACTGGAAATAAGCTGAGCATTTTAACAGATTATATAGTTCTTAAAATATGCATGTGAATCTCTTGCAATGATACAGCAAATCTCACTATTTCAAATATGTGTGTTTGTATATATATATATATATATATACAAACACACACATATATATATAATGCTTTACCCAAAAGGATAAAAAAGCTTAAGATGACAAAAATGACAAGGTTCTTTATTTACCTCCAACAAAGATAACAGGAGAGTGACATTTTCTTGCTGCTTAATAAAAATTTCTGTAAACTGACTTCCCAAATCCTCACTCTGTCTTGTGGAATTTTCTTCTGTAATATTAAAAGATAAAGCACTTCAATATGATGCAGTGTTATGTTATTCTTTTTTTTTTTAAGGAGCTAAGCAGAAATGATAATTTCCTTGGTACAATTATGCTGAAAAACATATCCTTAAATTAATTTTCAATGTCATTTAAATAAATATTTTTTTTTCTTATTAGTAAATTTATTGGGGTAATATTGGTTAATAAAATTATATAAACTTCAGGTGTACAACTTTATAATACATCTGTGTACTCTGTTGTGTGCTTACCACCCGAAGTCAGTCTCCTTCCATCACCATGTATTTTACCCCCTTTACCCTCTTTGTCCTCCCTCTGCTTCCCTTCTGGTAACCACCATTCAGTTGTCTGTATCTATGAGTATGTTTTTTAATTTGTTTTGTTTGTTTATTGCTTTTTGCTTTCTATACCATTTCTGAGTGAAATCGTATGGTTCTTGTCCTTTCCCATCTGACTTATTATACTTAGCATAATTCTCTTTTAAAAAAATATATATATATCTTTATTGATTTCAGAGAGGAAGGGAGAGGGAAAGAGAGATAGAAGCATCAATGATGAGAGAGAATCATTGATTGGCTGCCGCCTGCACGTCCCCTACTGGGGATCAAGCCCACAACCTAGGCATGTGCCCTTGACCAGAATCGAACCTGGGACCCTTCAGTCCGCAGGCTGACGCTCTATCCACTGAGCCAAACCAGCTAGGGCCATAATACTCTTAAGATCCATCCACATTGTTGCAAATGGCACTATTTCAAATTTTTATGCTTTAAATATGATAAACAAAAGATATTTCTTGAGGACATTTTTAGGTTAAACCTCTAATTAGGGTACAAGGAAACTTATTGGGATGATGGAAACATTCTATCTCTAATGTGATTATGGTTACACTACTGTTGTAAACATTTGCCCAAACACACAGGACTATAAAACCCCCAAAAGTAAATTATACTGTATGTAAATTATGTCTCAAAACCTCCTGCCTTGAAAACATTATTGAATATATAGTCCTTACTGACTCTGAGTGTTATTGTGTTAAATAATTTAATTATGGAATTAACCAGTTACTTGCAGATTCCTCCATATCTTTTTAAACAAAGTTAGCAAAGTTTCATATTTGTCCTTAAAACTTCAGTCTTTAGATTAAACTATTTGTTGTTTCAATGTACTTTGCCAAAAATATAAAGGATCACTAATAACTACTGAAGCACCAACTGCCAAAGCAAACTATCATTTAAAATTTGCCTATACTATTAACACAGTTTAGAGATGGCAAATACACTGTTCCCCATTCCCTAACCCACACCAGATGCAGCCAATTGATCACAGCATATGCTGAGCATCAGAATCCTTGTCCGCACTTTGCTCCAGGCAGTGACTATAAACCAATGAAGCTGGCAATCAAGGTCAAACCTATTTATTATCTCTCAAACAGTTCTTTTTCAAATGTGTGATTTTAATAATAAAATACTTCAGAAATAGAAAAAAAATCCAGTACATGATAAGAAAAACAAAGCAATCCAACAGTGAGAGTGATAATCATATCTAATTTTTGTAGAGGAAAGAAAAACAATAAGAAACCACAAGTAGAGAGAAAATGTTTTCCAATATTGACTATGTATCCAAATATGCTTGGTTTATTTTTCAAAAACTTTAAGAAATATCTCTCTTACTTCTTGCATCTGTAAAAGAATTCAGTTTCTGAATCTTAAAACTTTATTACTTAAAACAAAATATACTTTAGTTTTTAAAAGAATTACTGACAGCTATGCTAAGCATAGAATGTCAGGGAACAAGGGTTTGAAAAGGGAGACAGAATAGGAGGCAAAAATGAAGGTTAAAAGGGCTTAAAACTTAGTGGTCATAATTTCATGAAAATGGAACAGCATTTGCTGACATACTGCATAGAGGAGTATGAAAAGCAAAAAGAAAAAGAAAAAAAAAGAAAGGGTGATTCCAAGGTTTTGGTTTGAGGAGTTGGAAGGATGGAGCTGCCAGTTACTGCGATGGTAACCCAGTGGGAGAAGCAATTTAAGAGTATAGAAAGAATATGAAGTTTAATTCTGGCAAGTTTGAGACACCTTATAAAAATCTGAGAGAAGATATCAAGTGAGCAGTTGGATGAATACAAGCATAAATGTGGAGAAGTTTGGGTTCTATATATACATTAAAATGGTAAATATAAATATTTAAAGTTACAAGACTGGATGATGGGCATCTATGTAAAACTTACAGCTAACAACACTCTTGATGGTGAAAGACTGAATGTTTTCCACTTAAGATCAGGAAAGAGCAAGAATATCCACTTTCACCACTTCCAGTCAACAATGTATTGGAATCTTAATGCCATAGGCAAGAAAAAGAAATAAAAGGCATGCAGATTGAAAAAGGAAGAAGTAAAACTCTATTTATAGATGACATGTTTGCCTATGTATAAAATCTTATGGAACCTATAAAAAAGCTATTCAAACTAGTACTAGTAAATGAGTTTAGCAAAGTTGTGAGGAATGAAAGGTCAATATACAAAATTAATTGCATTTCTATATACTGGCAATGAATAATTAGAGACTGAAATTTAAAAAACAATACCACTTGAAACAGCACCAAAAATATTAAAAGACTTAGGGATATATTTCATAGAAGATGTATAAGACCTATACTTTGAAAACTCTGAAATGCTGCTGAGAAATATTAAAGACCTAAATAAACACATATACTGTGTTTTTGTATTAGAAGATGCAATTTTGTTAAGATGTTGGTTTTCCCTAATTCAACCTACAGATTCACCAGAATCCCAAAGTCAGTTTTTAAAATAGAAATTGATCAATTGATTCTAAAATTGATGTGGGACTACAAAGAACCTAAAAGGGCCAAAGTGATTTTGAAAACACACACAGAGGACTGAAAAAGTTGGAGGACTTAAGTACATGATTTCAAGATTTATTATAAAGCTACAATAATCAAGAGAGTGTCACATAGACAAAAGGACAGAAATTCAGACAAATAGAACAGAAATTCCAATAGAACAGAAAGTCCAGAAATAGATCCATTAGCTCAAAAGTGTAAAAGTAGAAATGGACTACAGATCTAACCATAAGAATTAAAACTGTAAAAAAAAATCACAGAAGAAAATCTTAGTGATTTTAGGTTTGGCAAAGATTTCATAAATAGGAAACAAAAAGTTAAGTTAGAAAAGAAAAAAAATTGATAAGATGGACTTAATCAAAAGTTAAAACCTGCTCTCCAAAATATAATATTAGGAAAATGAAAAGGCAAGTCACAGACAGGGAGAATATTTGTGAAAGACATATCACAATGGACTTGTATCTAGAATATATAAAGAATTCTTACAACTGAAAAATAAGAATATAATCTAGTAAAAAAAGCAAAAGATTTGAATAAACACTTTGCCAAAAAGAAAAATATATACAGTGGGGCCTTGACTTACGAGTGTCCCGACTAACGAGTTTTTCGAGATATGAGCCGTTTAAAATTCAGGTTACGAGCCAGCTTCAGATACCCCACCGCTAGTTGGCGCAGCGAACTCACAGTGAACGCCACAACATCAGCCCAGCATCACGTGTCTCACTCGTTCACTTTTTGATTTGACATACGAGTAATTTGAGTTACGAGCTCCGTCACTGAACGAAATAAACTCGTAAGTCAAGGCCCCACTGTAGATGGCAAATAAGCACACAAAAAGTTGCTTAACAGCATTATTCTTTATGAAAATACAAATTAAAACAACCATGAAATACTATTATTATCTACTAGAACAGCTAAAATTTAAAAAGACTGACCATTACCAAGTATTGGAGAGAATGTGGAAGAACTGGAACTCATAGATTACCAGTGAGAATGTAAAAGGGTACAACTATGTTGAAAAATGGTTTGACCTTTTCTTATACAGTTAAACATACACTTACTATTATCTCTTAGGTATTCTATTGCTAGGTATTTATTCAAAAGAAATGAAAATATATGTCCATATAAAGACTTGTACATGATATTTATAGAAGCTTTATTTGGAACTGCCAAAAACTGAAAACAATCCAAATGCCCACCAAAAGGGGAATGGATTAACAAATCACTATATTTGCACTTACTATTATTTTTTAAAAATATATTTTATTGATTTTTTTACAGAGAGGAAGGGAGAGGGACAGAGTTAGAAACATCGATGAAAGAGAAACATCAATCAGCTGCCCCCTGCACACCCCCCACTGGGGATGTAACCGCAACCAAGGCACACGCCCCTGACCGGAATCGAACCTGGGACCCCTCAGCCCGCAGGCCGACGCTCTATCCACTGAGCCAAACTAGTCAGGGCACGCACTTACTATTATTTATGTAAATTTTGTGATGCTTCAGAGGGTAATATAGTATGTTTTGTTTATTTAACATATTTAACTATGGACCCATTTTAATACAAAGTATTCTGAGATATCTACCCTTTAAGGAATGTAGGTTTAACCAAGGAAAAAGTTTAATTCATGTTTGCAATGAATACAAGCTAATGACTTAGCAAGAAGTGGAGTTAACATATTTGATTTATTTTGTAGCTTTAATGTATAAAATACTGTAGCTTAACAATATACAATTAAGAGCTGTTTGGAAATGAATTAGGAAAATATGATCGTGTTCCAAGGATCTATGGTTCCTTCTGGCTTAATATTGTCAATTTGAAAAAGCTGTTAGTGAAATGAACTTTACTTCCTTTAAGTATAAGACAGCACTTCTGGCCCAGCTGGTGTAGCTCAGTGGTTAAGCATCAATCTATGAACCAGGAGGTCATGGTTCAATTCCTGGTCAGGGCACATGCCCAGGTTGTGGGCTCAATTCTCAGTAGGGGGCAGTCTGAAGGCAGACGATCAATGATTTTCATCACTGATGTTTCTATCTCTCTCTCCCTCTCCCTTCCTCTCTGAAATCAATTATATATATATCTATATATCTATATATATAAAGACATGTAGAGTTCCACAAAAACTAGC